TGTGTGTGTGTGTGTGTGTGTTGAGGCAGACATAAGAGTATGGGGGATTTAACTGGATTGAGGACACCAAGTTGACTCCTTGAGTCCACCAATTTGTGATCATTTTCTCCTCTCTCTCTTTCTCTAGTCCTCTCTCATAAATAAGAGTAGTCCACTGGATTAAATACACACTCTATGTCTTTCTGTCTTTCATTATCTCTATTTTCTTTTACAATTGGCCAACACATAGGCTAAATTCAGAACATCAACAGAAACGTGTGTATGTGTGTGTGAGTGTCAGCGTATGTGTGTGTGTGTGTGTGTAGTTTGATTAAAGCCAGTCTGTGGATTAATTAGGGTAAATAACCTCAGAGCAGCTTTTGGGATTTAAGTGTTAAAACCTACTGTAGGCTTTACGCAGGAAAGTGTATGTGACTTTGTGTGAGTTTCATTACATGGCCACAAGTCTTCTCCTACTGGATCCAGATATTTTAAAGATGATGTTTTCTGGAGGCTATTTAGTCGTCATGACATAAGTACCTTCTAGCACCATAGCCCAGTGAAATAAGTCTATGAAAACAGTTGCAGAGGTTAAGTTACAGTCCAATTCCATTAAAAGTGTGTTTTTAAATTGACAGATCAACTTATAATTTCACTGACAGACAGCAACAGAAATTCCAGCAGAATCCCACAGATGCTTTTCAATAGGAATCATCCCTCTTCCTTCTCAAAAAACAGATGTGCTTTTCCTCCTCAACTCCACTAGAACGTGCCATCAAAAATAATTACAAAACATTTAAGGCTGTAGAGGAGCGTACTGAGAAATAGGCTGCAGGCAGCGTCTTCCAACCACGTGGATGACAAAGTCAATTAGGAGATCTCTACCCAGTAGCATGTAACTCCATCCCTCTCAGACGGAAAGAACCAGAATGTTGTGGCCACATATGCTTATCTGGCTCTCCCCCTGCCCTAGAACTGAGACCAGGACCTTGTTCACTCTCTGAAAGCCAACAGCAACAAGGCAATCTGCTCTCAAACAGCTGGAGCTGCCCCCCTCCCAAGATTGAAAGTGAGAATAAGAGAAAGTGAAGTCTGAGGTGGGGAGAGCGTGAAAATGAGAAACAGGGAGAAAGACAGTGATGGAAGCAGAGAGTTCTGGAGAGTTTGCTGTCATGTATAATCAAATCTTAGTCAACGCAGAAGATGAGAGCGCGTAAAGGAACCAGGGTTTCCTCCCACTGCCAAATCTAAAAGGGACAACTGCCAGACTTACACACATCACGGGTAAACACAGCAGAGAAAAAGAACAGCAAGATGAGAAAAGTGACTGATTTAAAAAAGAGCCAGAGCAAAAGATAAAAAGAAACTGAGGGAGAAGGAAAAGATGACAGAGGGAGATATGGTTTGAAATTTGGAAAAAGAGAACGCGAGGGAGAAGGAAAGAAAGAGTTGAAGAGCAGGACGAGGGCAGCAGGAAATTCCTTCGTCATTTTCCCAACCCTTTGTCCATCTCAAAAAATGAAATATGACAACACCCCTCCTCCTTTTTTCTCTCTCATGCCAATCCTCCCTGACTCATTAGTTCTTCTCTCTCTCTTTTTGTACTCGGTTGTGTTCATGCGGGCTGGCAAAAGAGATAACTGGATTTCAAATAGTCTGGCAGCTGCACAGTGTATTCCTCGATTGTTTTGCAGTGGAAGAGAACAAGATAGTGTCAGTACAAGTGGGGCTGTGCAATATGAAGATATATAGATATGTATAAAGTCATGTGATGGTTCTTCCACATGGCACAGATGCAGACAGGAGGTTTGTAAGAAGGTAACACAAACAAACATGGAGGAGAGTGAACGTGACACAGAACAAGGGAATTCCAAGCAGGAGACTCATTCATACCTCATGTCTTCCAGCAGGTCACATTCAGTCTGGTGTTTAAAGTGCAGTCTTGTCATCTGCTCCGTGTGTGTGTTTTTCAGCTCCTGTGTCACTTTGACCTGGAGGAGACAAAAAGACATGTCAGGGAAAGGATTGTCATTTCTTCACCCCTCTGCTCTGCAAACATGTTATTTAAATCAAGGCTCACATTCATCAACAGAGAGAAACCGCCATTACTACATTTTATCTTATATATTTATAAAATATCCAGAATGAGCTATGAAATGATGAAGTCATTTGTGATTTTGGTTATCATAGTAGAGCTAAAATGTTTTCTATGAGCTATGAGAATGATGAATACCTACTAGCCTGAAGGTCATGGACACATTAATAATTAATAATGATCTTTTTTTTCTCAATGGCCACATCAACCACCCCTAGTAGGATTAAATGTTAAATGCATTAAGTCCCCAAAAGTCACACACCAATGTGACACATACAGTAAAAATAATCTGTAGATAGGGCTAGATAATATGGCCAAAGATCAATCAAGGTAAAAAAAATCTTATCAGTCCATATTAATTATTATGATACACTTCATATTAATATGTTTTTTAAGTTTGACTGAGTTTTGCTCCTGAATGAAGGTTGTGATTTTAAACTCTTCTTTATGAGCAGAGAATGAAAAACTCTTGATAAATAGCAAAACGTTTTACAAATCTGAGGTCAATCAATTATGAGCCATATTCAGACTGGGAAATGTTAAAACATTATGACCTTAGATTCTCAGCGGATCTGGCACCCACAGGGACACTTTAAAACTGTCTTGTTTCATTGTATTCAGAATCATATAAAACACAGAAAAGCACTAAATCCTCACATCTATGTGACATTTTTCTCTGATTCAATTACTTAAATAATTAATAGATAATCAAAGTTGTAGCTAATTAATTTTCTGTCACTATAATGAGCTTGTGATTCAAAAGTATCATTAGTGGATTTCAGCAGGTTCAACCAACTCTACTTCCATCCGTCCATCCATCAGTAATCCATCAACGTTAAAAATCAGCGTCAGGGTTGTGTCAAACTTTTGGGGGAGGTGACTCGCAGTGAAGTCTGTGCATGTCAGGAAAAGATGCAAATTCTATCACTTCATACATAAATTAATTTTGGTGGTCACTGGTCAGACCAGGGGGTATGACATTTTCTCCTTTAAATGGTCTTGTGTAGAAACAAAGAGCTCACCATCAACACACACTACACACACACACCCACCTCCTGCCAACACAGACTCACTCTGAAGGTCATTGTGTATTGTCGAGTGAATTCCATTAGCTATTCACCAACACAACAGTGGGCAAATTCATGACTGTTCTGTTCAAACAAAACAATCAACAATGCAAAACATGCACACACGCACGCACATGCACACGCGCACACACACACACTCTGCACAGCTCCTCTCTTTCATGTGCTGTCTCTGAAGATAAGGAGGAAGGAGTGGTTTATTACGTTATCAGCCCAAAATGACTTCACTTGATTTCACCTTCCACCACTCGCAGCAAAACACAGGAAGAGAGGTGGAAAGTGGGAAGAGAAATGGATGACAGGGAGACAGAGGAGATAAAGTGAGAGTATGAGTTGTAATGGGGAGGTTGTGTTTGAGAGAATTAGAAGTAAGGAGTAAGGAGGGAGAGAATAGAAAATGGTAATACTGAGAAGGATGACAGCGAAAAAGATTAGACATAGAGAAGTTAATCAGGAGGAAAGAGAAATTCAGAACATTAGAGTTATGTTACAAGAAAAGGCTTCACTTAGTGTAGCTTTCAGTATTAAAGTATTATAGGCAGGTCTATGATACTGCAAAGAAGTTGGTGTGTGTCATGTAACCTAATTAGTTGCATATTTTATGGTTTTAATGTGCACATGAGAGGTAAATAATGAGGAACTGCAATTAGGTAATGATGAGGAATCAGCATCAAGATAAGTTATTAGGTTCATCAAAACATCTGTACATTACTGTGTGATATGTGAATCCCTTCCTTTTTCTTTTTTTTCAGAAAAAAATTAGTCTGACCAGAAGTGATGGCTCTTGGTCCAGATCGAACTGATCCATGGTTTAGTTCATTTGCAGTTTGAAAAAACACTTTTGAAGAGTTCTGTCTTTGGACTAATTGCTGGAAGTTGAAACAGCATTTGACTATAAAAGAAGAAAAAGAAGTCGAACTTGCTCACAGAATTGCTTGTCTGTCCATTTAGTGCATTCAAGGGCCCTCTAATGTGGAATAATGTGCCTTGAAAGTATCACAGTTTTAAAAAAATACAAGAAGAAAAAGAAGGAGAAGCAGGTTTGTTGCCAATGCTATAATGTTTCCACTTGTGTGGAGTACTGTGTCTGATGTTGTTGATGCTGGTAGTAAAGCCACAATGATATCACACTGGCAATGAAATTAATGCAATGAGCCGATTCATTAATTTTCTCTGTTCAAAAAGAAAGACTGCTGCTGCTAACTGCTGGATTCAGACGCACGCCTCTCTATAAACCAATCAATGTCAAGTAAAGGTAAATGCAGTCCACGTACAAGATGAGGTCAGGCCCGTACATAAGCAATATAAAATTCTTAAGTGGAAAAAATTTACCAGATCAAGTGTAAACAATAGCATGATCCTTGGTCCAGAGTTTCAGGTGTGAAGACTCTTGGATTCACAATGTCATGTCATCTTGTATGTTTAAGGTAATGTAGACTATAAAGAAGAAATGGCTAGTTAAAAACAAATAAATTAACATAATTTGTCAAAAACGTAAATGTTTTGCCTGTTTTTTACCTCTTCGGTACCCATCTATAATTTTAAGGTAGATGCACTGAGACACAGACAAAACACTTGAGGGGCCGTATGTGTTGCACTGGGAGAGAAATTATTAGCCTCCAACAGCCAAATACTGATGCACTCTGATGCTGTGGTGCTGCGAGTGTACTCACTGTGCCATCCACACTGGCAGGGGGTGAAACATCAGTGTTTTCACACCAAAGTGAACGGAGAGTTGCTGACAGCTGACAAATGAGATCTTACTAAATGAATACGACCTCAATGATGCCGTTGATCACACACGGTGGAGGGAGACAGTCAAAGTGGCCTCTATGGCCTCTATAATGAAAGGATCTGTTAAAGTGTGTGTGTGTGTGTTTTTTTTAAAGACATGACATGACATGTTCAAGGCCGGCGTGTATGTGTGTATGTGTGTGTGTGTGTGTGTGTGTGTGTGTGTAAGGAAGAACCCAGAGCATAAATGGCACTGGGGGAATATGTGGTAATTAAGAGAAAACTGTGCAGAGGTTCACAGCAGGGTAATTGGCTCTCATGCATCTATTTCAGGACAACACACACACTCACTCACACACTCATACAGACACCAATGGACCAGCAACTTCAACACATACACACACAAGATACCAAGCTATAGGGGACTGTGGTCTTTTCTCAGCCTGTACAGAATCAATAAATTAGCATCTGACAAGGCTCTGCCAGCATGTCTCCTGGGTTTGTTTCTGTGTGTGTGTGTGTGTGTGTGTGTGTGTGTGTGTGTGTGTGTGTGTCAGGGTTCTACTCATGTTATGGGGACCTAATTTTGTTTACACAGTGACTTTATGGTGACTGAACAAAAAGTAAGTCTGCATATTGTAATTAATTGGATTTTGCAGGTGAACACATGTTTTAGGGTTAGGTTAGATTAAGTTAGGTTAGGGTATGGGGTTAGGGTTAAGGTTAGGCAAGTACTAAATATGGTTAAGGTTAGGGTAAGTCTCCAGGAAATCACTGCAAATCAGGGTTAGTATGTGATGTGTGTGTGTGTGTGTGTGTGTNGTGTGTGTGTGTGTGTGTGTGTGTGCGTGTGTGTGCGTGTGTGTTGATGTGACCGTGGACGAAGTGAAGGTCCTTCCTTCAGACGTGGAGCATCACACCGTGGAGAAACAGACAGACAGCTTGTGTAGTGTATGTCTGAGGGGCCGCTGTCACACATAACTGAGCTAACACACATGCTACACGGCAAGTACATTGAGGGCTGCTAGTTAAAATCCTAATGACGCGAGAGAAGGTGTGAGAGCGATAAGATATTTGTAAATGTAAAGTTATGTGCATTAAAGGACATCTTTTAATGTGCCCTTTAACAACACACACACACACACACACACACACACACACAACACGCGATATGATATTTAGTCATTGACGCTTTGCACAAAACGCCTCATGCTAGCCCACCGAGCGGTTTGTAGCTAACGTTATTAGACGTCTGGACAGATGCATGTTAATGCCACTAACCTAGCTAGCAAACGCTGCTAATGTTAGCTAGCAAGTGTCTTCACTCCCCTTTCATGCGTGCGTGTGTGTGTGTGTGTGTCAGGTTACCACACAGTTATCTGTCATTGTCCGCACAGCCCAGCTCCAAACATAACGGACCCCGCAGATCACTCACCTTCCTCGGCGGCGGCTGCATGTTGGAGTCTGGACATGAATGGTCCGAGATGTATTCTAATGTACTTCCAAGAGCAGATCCCCAAAAAGAGAAACACAAAACCCCAGTGTGAGGGGGTCTAATGGTTTCTTTTTGTTTGTTTGGTTTTCCCCCTCCAACAAAAACAAGAAAAAAGATAAATCCTCCCCTCCTCCTGACGACAGGGAGGGAAGAAGGGCTTTTTTAGATGACTACCCCGGCGGCCATGATTGATGATAAATGGCTCGTTTGTGGCTCGGAGCGGAGACACTGGTGTTAGTGGAGGAGGAGGAGGAGGTGGACTGGTGTTGAACTGTGTTGTGGAGCAGACAGGCGGAGAGAAAAGCAGGGGAGGAAGTGATGGAGGAGGAGGATGAGGAGGAGGAGGAAGGTATTAACGGGGATCCCCTTCAGCTGCTTAGTCCGATGGTGCCCCCGTGCGGCAGCGAACGGCCACGGTCTGCGTTCGAAAACATCAGGTGCAGACTCGAATTCTTTTTTTTTGTGTGTTCCGCCTTTTTGTTGAGTGATTTAAATCAAATATATCTGCAGGAAGGATGGTAGCTAAAAAAAAAGAATGTGGCTTTTTGTCCAGGAGCTTCGGTGTGCAGCTCGAGGAGCCTGGTGCAGGAGGCTGCGTCCTGCAGACCTGCATAGCAACAAGAAACCGCAGTCGATCCAAGATAAATCGATCAGAGCGGAAAAATAGACTCTTTCCTTTGTCAAACAATAATAATACATCATAATATTGAAATAATCACATATCACGACGAAATTATGACATTTTCCTCATAGATTCAAATTTTTAGTTGCATCGTTTCTTGTAGAATCATCCATTCAATTGTCAAAATCTGTCAGTGATACACTTATTTATTTGTTTAATAAATTCTTCTTTGTAATGTCCATATGTAAATAAGAAAAAATAAATACAAACATCTAAATGTAATCATCGAAGCTCATAAATCCAAAATTAGTAAATTAATATTTAAACATATACAGGCATTTGTTCCAGTGTCTCCAGAAACAAGAGGAATACCCTGTGTCAGTCCGTCGAGGCTCAGTTCAGACCATCATGGCAGCTCAACAGATAAATACATAGACAGTTTTTAAAAGACATTTAAAATAACAATATTGGTAGACAGTGGCTGGGTGGACAGATGGACAGATGTTTCACCTCTAATCCAAGAAGCTGTGGGTCTGCACCTGCAGTTGTTATGTTAAACAGATAGTTGAACCCTCCTCTTGCTTAGTGGGTCATTAGGGTCCTCTGAGTCAAAGTATGAAAGTTGATCTAAGTTGTACACCCACCCTGCTGTTGTGTGAGTCATCAAGAAACACAAGTCCAGTTGTCAATGTACACAACTGATTATGAAGAAAAGGACCTGGATGAGTGAGAATCTTCACAGATAACTTTCTAGAGAGATTTGATATGTCAGAGACAACAAAGTGTGACATGATTGGCAAAAAAAAAAGAATGGAAATAATTGCAACATATAATATTTTAGAATTGACAATTATTATTTGGTGAGACAGACAGAAGTAACAGGAAGGGGCACCAGTATTTAACTTCCCATGTCCTACGTGCCACCACCAAGGTTAAGGTTAAGGGCCATGTAATCATTAATACACAGAGTTTGTGAAGCAGGTAAGACATTAAGTGTTCTTTCTCACCTTTCCTCTCATTTTAAAATAACAAACACACATATTCAAACACATGCACACACACACAAACACAAACCTACATTCAGGGGGAAAAAACACATCTCCAAACGCCCACACACATAACTTTTGGCCAGTGGCAAATGGCTGTCGATCATTGTGGGATCATGTTTTGTTTGTAAGGACTCAGCTGGGATTCTTATGATTTATGATTTCTGTTATGAATTGGTTTAGGTTTATCTGTGTCTCGTTGGCCGTACAAAGGTAAGAAAGGTTTTATAGTAAAAGTACTAAATACATTATGTCCTATCTCTATTCAATCGGTGGAATAATAGGTCAACAAATAGAATTATATTTAACTACATAATATAGTTTCTTCGTTTTCCTACCCTATGAAAATCTAAATTACTAAGACAAACAAAGAGTAATTGCTGGTGGTTAGAATTACATCTAACAGATACTAAACTATGTATAAGTAGAATGAAGATTTTTCAGTTAGCCTAACTTAGAAAGTATAAATATTACAACAGTCAAATCTGAAGAGAATCTCGTTTTTTACTCACTGTTCATTTGACTAAGAGTTAACAGTGGGCCCTCAGGCCTAGAAGCTCGCTCTCGGTACGTACAGGCTACAGCTTGTCTGACAAGCACACGCCTCTAGACGTCTTTACTCACTCAAATAAGCACATTCAGCCACTAACTTCACACTCAGGTAAACACATCCACTCGTAAGAATGAGGACAGGCTGCTGAGGTTGGTCGACACAGGACAGTCTGTGAAGGGCAAAAAACATTTGTGTGAGTAATTTTGAAGTCTTTGTGGTAGTATATTTCAGTGTGAATATACGTTTAGCAAAAAAATATAGTTTTCATTGCTGATGAACTGTAAGTGGTGCTCAGTGTGGAATGTGCACACACAGTAAGTGAGGAGAATTTGCAGGACTATAAAAGGGGGGCCTCTCTTTCTGATGTCTGTTATCTGTTCAATTCAACCTGCAGCTTTTTTGAAGAGGGGGAGAAAAAAAGGTTGAGAGACTGCAGAGCGAGCGAGAGCCAGTGTTTTCCATGAGGAGAAAAATAATAATAAATAATAAGGTGGTTGATTCATCTGTGAAGTGAGAAATGAGTAAGTCTGGCATTCACTGCCTTAACAGCATGTGGATAAAGACATCAGCGGAGTGAGATGTTGTAATAGGATTGCTGGTGTACATAATTACAGAGTGAATGATGAGAAAATGGGCTGAGGTTACAGTATAGGCAGAAATGTAACATGCATTCCAGTGAGTGAAACAAAGAGCAGAGTCTGGTTTGAGTTAAAAAGTTACCGTGAGACTTTGGAAAAAGTGGACGTGCAGAGAGCCAGAATGATCTGATGCGTTCCTGCACAAGAACACGAGAGAGAAAAAAACAGGAGTTGCTGACAATCAAGTTTGTTTGAATTTTTGTCTGACGAAACTGCAGCTCATATATTTGCATACATGTGTGAGTGGTTTTCTATAGGAGGAGGATAAATAGACAGTAAGCTTTTTAAGATTGGTCCTCAGAGGTATGAAGATGTTGTGAAACCGGTCGGGCCAGGAGGTGGAACAGCACACTGAAAATGGAAAATTGAGAGATCAACTTTCTCACTTGGTAAAATCAACTTTGTTCAAATTAAAGTTAACAATCGATTTCATCATTATTTAACTAAAATTAACTTTAATTTGGGTGAACAAAAAATATTCATGTAAGTGTTACTTATTGAAGTCATCATTTCAAGTTGATCAAATTGAATTCTCCTTTTTCAGAAAATTCACAATTTAAATTTAGGCTCTTAAAATTAATTCATATAAGTCACTCCTTTTTTATTGTCTTTTCTTTCTCCTGTTTATATCACTTTTTATTGTTTTTATAGTAATTATGATAAATTTATTTTACTTTATTTCAGCTTTTTTATTAGTTTTGTCTTATTCTTGGCTCATTAGTCAGTTGTGCTGCACTTTGAACACCAACCTTTTATGAAATGTGATATACAAATAAAAATTGTTTGGTTGATTGGTAATATGAGTGGCACAAAGTTTACTCTTCTCTTCTGTCACAATTCTTCTCTCCTCTACTCAACCAACCACTTCAGAAAGATAATGACAATTAATGGAACTCAGCATTAAAATAATGCTCTCTCTGATTTTACAGTAAAAATGTATGTTTGTGTTTCATGTTTATGGACTCTGTGTTAGGGATGTGCCACAATGAATCACTTGGGGCATCATTGAGATGTAATCTAAGCTGATGTCACTTTTTGGGATTTTATCTGAGCCGTTTGTTTAATTGCATTATTTAAATTATTTACTTGGTCTTTAATTGATTGTCTCTTTCTGTGAAGCACTTTGCAACTGTGTAAGTAAAGTTTTTAAATCATGATGATGATGATTATCATTAAAGTTATTTCCATTATTATGATTATTTACTTTTCATTGTACTTTTTCACATGATCTTTTCACAATCTTTGTCCTTGTCTTTTCCTCAGGTGTTCCCACAACCAAGATGGCCACCTTTGACAACAACACAAACCAAACAGGCCACAGCGCCTCCTACTGTAAATTCAATGAAACATTTAAATACATTCTCCTGCCTGTGAGCTATGCCCTGGTCTTTGTGATCGGCCTTGTGCTGAACTCCACAGCGTTGTATGTGATTGTGTTCTGCACGAAGCGCTGGAAGCCGACCACCATCTATATGTTCAACCTGACCATGTGTGACACTCTCTACGTCCTGACCCTGCCCTTCCTCATCTACTACTATGCCGATGAGAATCACTGGCCCTTCGGTGAACCCTTCTGCAAAGTGATACGCTTCCTGTTTTATACCAACTTATATGGTACAGCTCCGGCACAACACAGACCGAAACAATACAGAAAAACATGGCTAGACATGGGATATCTCCCAGTTATGGCATAATACTAAGTCAACACATTTTTAATGATAGTTAAGAACTAATCACTCTCTCTGGTAGGTTCTATATTGTTCCTGTGCTGTATCAGTCTGCATCGGTTCATTGGAATCTGTTATCCAGTCCACTCTCTGTACTGGGTGAGCGCTAGTCGGGCCCGGCTGGTGTCTGTGGCAGTGTGGGCCTTTGTGTTACTCTGCCAGGCACCTGTTCTCTACTTCTCAAGAATAAGGTAATTCTTCCTTTCTTTCTGTTTTTCTTTCTTTCTGTCTTTCTTGCCTTAACTACTGACCTTGTTTATTGTGTTGAAGGTGTCTCTGATTGTGTTTATCTATAGAATATTGATTATTTGACACACCTACTCTAAGAAGTATTTTATCTCAGGTTGCCTTAATTCAATGATCAACCACCCTGCTACCTAATAAGTTTACATTTTACCTCCTTTCCGTCACCACTCCTTTCTTCTTCTGTGGTTCAGTGCCAAACAAGGTAGCAGATGAATTGAATCATCCTGATCTACTGTCATCTGTTATCTTCTCTGCCAGGGATGTGGCCACTGGGCAGACCTGTTACGACACCACAAGCCCGGAGCTGTTTGACGACTTCCTGGTGTACAGCTCGGTGGTGTCAGTGCTCCTGTTCGTCCTTCCCTTCATGGTGGTGATGGTCTGCTACGGCCTCATGGTGCGGAAGCTTCTGGAGCCGAGCTGGGGATCTGAGGGTGGGGATGGAAGGGAGAGAGGCGGTCTGGTGGCCCAACGGTCCAAGCAGAAGTCAGTGAAGATGATTATCATCGTGCTGGCAATGTTCATGCTCTGCTTCCTCCCTTTCCACCTCACCAGGAGTCTTTACTACTCCTTCAGACACCTGAGGCAGGCCAATCCAGCACAGGTGAGGACAAACACACATTTACAAGACAAGGTGAGACCAGATTGGGACAAAGCGAGACATGACAAGGGTAGGCTAGGCTAGTCTGTACATGATCACTCAAAGCGCCATTCACTGATTCACACACACAATCAAACAGCACCTTTTCTATGAGGAGGAACTCAGGGTTCAGTATCTTGCCCACACTTGCATGACATGCAGATGGAGGAGACTGGCATCAAACCCCCAACCCTCTCAGCCACAGCCAACTAGACTAGACTTAGCGAAACAACACAAGACTAGACAAGACATAACGAGGCTGGATAGGAGGCTAGGCTAGGCTAGGCTAGGTTAGACCAGACTAGACTAGACCAAACTAGACTAGACTTGACTAGACAAGAATAGAATAGACAAGACAAGACAAGTCTACACTAGACTTGACGAGACAAGGCTAGGCCAGGCAAGACTAGATAAGACTTGACTAGAATAGAATAGACAAGTCAAGACAAGTCTAGACTAGACTGGACAAAACACGACAAGACTAGACTAGACTACATTAGATAAGACAAGACTAGACTAGATTACACTACTAGACTAGACTAGACGACAAGACTAGACTAGATTAGACTACTAGACTGGACTACATTAGATAAGACAAGACTACCAAACGAGTAGAATAAACTAGACCATAGACTATAGATTTGTTATCATGGATTCAAAAGCTCAGTGTGTCACATTTTATATGTTTTTACATATGTATATATTATATATTCACCAGTTCAGCTGTAATTTGCTGGAGGCCTCCAGTATCGCTTACAAGGTCACCCGACCTTTGGCCAGTGCCAACAGCTGCGTGGACCCCATTCTTTACTTCCTGGCTGGGCAGGACGTCCGCAGTAACATCACAAAGAAGATCAGGTCATTTCCGTCAAAACATAAAGGTGTGAGCCGGTTCGTGACAACGCAAATCTGACCTAACACCCCATTATGTCTTGGTAAACATGACATCTCATCAGTGCAACTTTCAATGTTCAGCAAGTACAAGACCTCTGAGGGTCAGGTCTTTATGTAGAGGCAAATGTTCAATCCTATATTATTCTTTAAGCAATTATGAATGTTGTTTTTCTTCAGGAGTTTAATTTATATTGATACAAATATACTGTAAAGTGATATTCATTCTTAAAAATTTCTCAGAATTAAGAGAAAAACCAAAGCATTTATTGCTTTTTACTGCTTACTTGTCTGCTCAGAATGATTGAAGGTCTTTAGTTGAGCAAGTTCAAACACTTGGATTTGGATTTCTGTCATCAACCTGCAGAAAATATTTGCCCAGAAATAGTTATGACGACGAAAGGTTATAAATAAATGTCTAAATCATGTAGTGCATTCCTGACTTGACTCGTCTGAGCCACATATATCAGATACTGTATGTCTGTGTTCTCTCTGGTCAGACACTCCCTGCCCTTTTAAGACTTGTTAGGAAAGTTTTAATGAACATGTGCAAATGACTGTCAAGGTTCTTTGTTCTCATTTGTATCATGTGTCATGCAACAATTACTTCAATCTAAATGCCTTAATGTGTGTGGAATAATATTTTGTTCTGGCATATCAGCTAAGTGAGTATTCACAATCATTCTGCCCAACATTCTTCACACAGGCTGATTTCCTTTTTTTATTCTGTAAAATTATTTCTACAGTGCAACCTCTGAGCAGTGTAATCTGAAACCAGAGCAGTTTGCTGTGAGGTCTGTCGTTTATGAATATGGAAATTGCAATTTGTGGGAAGAGCAACGTACAACTCAGTAATCTCTCTGGTGTTGGCCACACCTCAATTACGTTATCATTGGTCCATTTTCATTTAATGTGTACAAGTCCACAACTAGGGGGAGACACTGGTTAACAAACAAGACAGGATGTTGCTTATGAGGCTCTGATCTCAACTCAATGTTTTAAGTACAAGTTTTTTAAACAAACACACAACTCTGTCAAGAACAACTGCACACAAGACAAGTGTGTAAAATACATCCCTTCTTTATTTCAAGAGTAAAAACATCATACAGAATAATGTCATCATATAAACACAATCTAAAAAGTTGATGAAATGAAATGTTTTTTTTATTCCTTCCTACTCGCCAGCAACACATCAGCCTGGAGACACTTAATAAGAAACAGAAGTAAAAAGAAATCAAATAAAACATGTCACTATAATATTTATCAGAACAACATAATAAGATAATGTGAAAATATGCATCTAAAATACCACTATGATTATAGTGCACTCTTTAAAACTCATGAGGTTGTAAACTAAAGCCGAGACTTGAGGCATCTCGACCACTAATCCTCTGCAGCCACGGTTGATTTATTTAATGAAACTATAAAGAAGCATGCATCTGTGTGTGCGTGCGTGTGTTTTTTTAAAAGTTCAGGATTAGAGCAGAAAAGCGTTTCACCAAAATGTTGTAGCCAAGTGGTGAGAAGTCAGATTTAACATGTCGATTCAGTTTTATCTGCACGGAGGTGTGTGAGGAGTTGGCCAGGTTGTTATTGATGGATTACAAATGTCACTCACTGGTGTCGTCTTTACCTTGACATGAGATCTAGTATATCACCTATAAATGTACTTTTCGCTAAAAATGATAAAAGCCAGGTATGGTCCATTTGTTGATACCCACCCATATTTACATATGTACAGTCATTTACATGTTCTATTCTACAAAACTGAGCTTTATACACGTCTTATTTCTTTTACCCTAAGAGTGAAAGGCTTTATCTTGTTATTGGGAAGCAGATGCTGTAATGCAGTATCAGGGGGCCCCTCTAAAACAAAATTTGGTCCCTGATCACGTATCCTCACGGTCCTGCATCTAGTCTAAGAGGTTAAAAGTCACATACATTGCTATTATGCTGAGTGTGGGTGGATGTACATTGCAGAACAAATGATTTTCAAACTCTCTGATGTTGAAGTGAGCTCCTTCTACATTCAACATCCTCAAGGTCTGAAACTATCACTCACCTGCGCTTTCTACGTGAGCAGGAGCAAGAGAAGCTAAATCACAGAAATTAAAAAAAATATCTTAAACTTAAAAATCATATTGAGTTTTACAACAGTTCCTCTGTATAATACTTTCTGTGGTGCAACTGGAGTCTGTAATCAAGTGTCATGTGATGGAAAAACCTTCATACTCTAACTTGATGTATTCCTTTTCTTACTGTTACTGTTATTTGAGTTTCTTGTAGTAAAATACCAATGTGTTTGTCTTCATGAAGACTATTTGTCTTGTATGTTTTAACCCCCAGGTCTATTCTTTTTACATGGAAGTGCAAATACAGGGACTAAGAGGGACCTTGTTTTGCATACAAACTTCTACTCTTTGTTTTCTCATCCCTCCGTCTAGTGTCACTTATTAATTGTTCACTTCACAAGAAATTAATATAACCACTGCTGTGTGTATTGACCGAGCCTTTTCCTCTCTGGATTGGGACATTAAAGCAGCTTCAGTTGATCTACTTTTTATGTAGTAATAAATACATGCATGTGTCTCTTCTTGCATAAATAGACATGACGTCTTCCAGCAGGAGGTGATTCTTGTAGTGTCTTGGTGTCAGTTGCGTTAAACAACACCCTCCTCCCTGTGCTGTGAAGTCATCAGAAGATTTTGAGGTCATCTTCAGCGAGGTAGCTTCATCGTACAGCGTCTTTCTCTGTCTCCTCATCTGAAGGAGACAGTGAAAATGTCAGGGAGGTACAAGGAGGACCTGATGGACAGAAGGATGAAACAACAGGTTTCAAAGTTTAATAAAAAAGACAAATAGATTTCCACTAATCTCATTAGTTCTTAATGAGCGAACTAACTTCCCCTACTGTCATCATAATTTACTTTCACAGTGAAACAGACTAAATAAATCAGTGTTGGGCAGAAGAACAGATACAATAATGATCTAAAACCTCTTCACAACAATTAAGATCAGCAGAACTAGAGTGAAAGAGGGATGTAGAGAGTCTTTGCAGATTGTACCTCCAGATGCCAGATGATGAAGAGGAGAAGTGTTTCCCACCAAACAGTGAGTTTCTCTGCTTCTCCGTTTCCTGGGATGATGTCTTGGTTTCCATGGTGACAGGTTTCTGCTCAGGAATCTGAGCAACTTGAAATCTATGCATTGAGCAGAAAATATAATCAATGTTACACTCAACATGATAATAATGGTCATAATCATAACTGCCAATATAACACGCAGTAACTGTTTACTGAGCGAGCCACTGGTGAAAGATAATTCAGATAAACAGTAGCAAAATGTAAACATTTCTTATTACGATTAGTTTCCTGCATTAAAACATTTCCTAAAGTAAAAGTACAGAACTAAAGAATTAATGTTATGTTAGATTTTTATCAAATTATTATGACTGGTGCATAAACTAAACTTAGCAGAACTTTAAGTTGCTAGTTGAGTAACGGCTAATTTTAATGTTATTCTATAATGTTGGGATCTTATTCTACACTATTCTCCCAGTCCTCTCTTAGTCGCCTTCAACCTGTGCAAAACGCTGCAGCCCGTCTTTTAACTAACAGACGAGAGCACATGACTCCTGTTCTTCGCTCCCTTCATTGGCTTCCCGTCCATCAATTGATTTTAAACTTCTAATGTTAGTTTTTAAAGCTCTTAATGGCCTCGCCCCATCTTATTTATTCGAGTTTTTAACTATTCGTGATCCTGGTAGAGCTTTGAGGTCATCCAACCAACTTTTGTTGGAAGTGCCGAGGTCAAGGTACAAATACTGGGGTGACCGAGCTGTTGCTGTCGCTGCTCCCAGGCTCTGGAATAAGCTCCCCGCTGAAATACGTGTTCTTTCTGACCTGGGCCTCTTCAAATCGAGATTAAAAACATATTTATTTCGGATGGCTGTTAATACCCAGTAGTGTGGTGACACTTTTATTTTACTTTTATTTTATTCTACTTTATTGATTTTATTGTTTTTATTTTATTATGTAATTGTAAAGCACTTTGGTTCACCGAAAGGATTGTTGTAAAGGGCTGTATAAATAAAAGAACTGAACTGAACTACACCAACCTATTGTATGAGATGATTATAAACTGAAAGAATGTTGTTAACCTTCTTCAAAATGAAAAGAAACAATAAATGAACACTGCATGTGTCATGTTGTATGTTGAGTATGACAATATGAGTCTCACCTTCCCACAGACAACACTGTCAGCTCTCCCTCCTTCTTCTCCTTCACTTCAGTCACTTCTACTTTTTCTTTTACAGTATTTGGCACGACAGTTTGGGTATAGAGCGTGTCAACACTCACTCCCCCCAGCAGGGGACTCTTCTGCTGGTCGGTGGATGTGTCCAGGGAGGGCAGGATGAGGGTCTGCGGGGGCTTCAGGGGATCTTTGAGGGAATCCAGAGGAGGTATGAGAACAGGGGGCCATTTTCTCTGAGCGCAACGGGTGCAGCGGTAGCCATGTTTGGGGGCCAGACCCGAGAGGCCGGAGATGGTGTGGAGATGGGACTGATGGGGGCAGAGTCTGGGGAGGGAGCAGAACGTGGACAGGGGAGACAGCATGGGAAACCTGGGAGAAGGGGGGGGGGGGGTGTTAGTCACATTTTTAAAATGTTTAATGTCAGCAAGGACAAACGGTGAAATACCCTGGAAATTCAAATACTGGAAAAGTTTCACAGTAAGGAGGTTTAACACATAATTGATCGCCTTCAGATTTGTAAAATGTTTTTTAAGTGTTTATCAAGTGTTTGTCAGTCTCTGCTCAGAAGAGTTTAAAACCACAACCTTCACTCAGGAGCAAGAATCAGACATTTATTGTGATAATTATTGATATCGACTGAATTTTGATATTTTTGGCCATATCGCCCAGCGCTGTAGATGATAGTCTTCATATTAATTCAGTTAAAAGAAAGTGAGGCTGCAATGTTGTCACTTTTGCTAACATGATGTGTAAATGTAAAATAAATTGAAACATTGCACATGGTCACCCTGTGTTCTTTCTGTTCTTTCATTGTTCTATTGTTCAGCAAAAAAAGAGAGCGAAAGAGTTGAATACAGCTGTGAGACCCTGTTGTACTAGTGAGTGACCTGTAGTGACCCCAGACAACTTCTGCACACACACACAAACACACACACACACACACACACACACACACACAGATAAAGAGAGAATGTTCTCGAATGTTAAGCTCACATGTTTCAGCAGCCTCAGAGCCAGAGGCCCCTGAGACCTCTCTCTATTGTACATGTGGCATACACACATACTCAAGTGCATTGGATCCTATTACCATTATGTAATATTAAGAGATGAGATAAACTTTAAGGACTCTGGAGGGGGAGCTGTGCAGAGAATACACAGTACATCACAGACAGTGGAGTTAAAGCTACAGCACACAGGTGGAGACTGAGGTGAACATCTGTGTGTTACCGGACTTGTTAGATTGAGTTGAGCGATGTTAATAACAGCGACGCACAACTCATGATCCAACCACAACTACACTTGGTCATGTAAACTGTGTGACTTTAAGCTGTGTGACAGCCAACCAGCTTATTGAGTGTTTGAGCCTCATGACTCAACCGACAGCGGTTACAACGATGTGAGACGTCTACTCCAGACATGTGGGGGTGAGTCAGGTACACGGCCTGAAGTCCACTACATGGAGCTGACGTTTGAATCTTTTACTTTACGTTTATAGAGGTACCAAAAGCTGTATTACAGTATTAAAATGTACATAGAATAGACAAATCTAGATTTCAAATCCAATCTGGCCACATTTTGTAGGAAAATTCGGTATTATATAATGTCCCAATTCTTTATGTACACATTTTCCATTATTCAATTTAACTGTTTAGCCCTTTTTTTTATTGCAACTGGCATAAAGGTGACATCAATTAAATTTAAAGAAATAAGAGCAATCAGCCAGCCGTGTGTGGTCTCATACTTGATTGAGGATCCTTTGCTCAAGGCCATCTGTTTGCTCTCGTACTCAAGCAGCAGCTCCTCTAGTGCAGCAGCATTTTCTGAAACACACAGACCCACATATAAAAACTCAATCATTATGTGAACTATAGTGATAGTCAATAAGTTTTTTGTTCAAGGTAATACTGTAAATTCCTGTTTGAAGGAATGTGATTTAAGATCATATTAGAAGTTTATGAATGTTGTTCATCTTTGTACTTTTTGGCATCTGATTGGCCAAAGTTCTGGGGTTTTATTAACTTTAAGTAGTCCTGGGCATGCCTTTGATTTTGCCTTTAAACACCACATTAAAAATATTTACCTTGCCAGTGCTTCACACGGGTGATTAAAGACTCCAGAGAGTTATAACTGATGTAGGGGGCTTACAGTATTACTTTGCAGAGTCATATGCTTGTTTTGTAATACGGTAACAAACTGGAAACAACAGTAGAAAAATGTTGTTTGAAATATTAAATATTCAACAATACGAGTATAGACTTAAGCTAAGAAAATACTAACTTTTGTTTTTATTGTCTACAAATAGATGTTTTTGTTCTTTTCACAGTGTTGCTGTCTGCAGGTCCCTTTTCTCAAAGTCTAACTCTAACCATCAATCTGCGATGGAGAGACAAAAAGCTGCTGAGTCGGCAGCGATAGAGACTCGTCCTCAGTTGTGTGTGACGACGTCCTGTGACGACTTTCTGGACTCGGGTTCCCTTCTAAAACCACAAGGGATGACATGACTCTGACTATGAGCTTACAGAGGGTGACATCGCTGTTGGTAGTTACTGGACACATACCTTTCTTTTCAGTGATGAGGCGAACGAGGACACTGATGGTGTCTTCATTGAGGTCATCAGATATGTAGGGACAAGTGTTACCTAGTGCAAGGAAACAGAGAAAATTAACCTCTAATAATGGGTGAACACTGCAATCTTAAGTTCTTGTAACTCATTAGCTGAGTGGATACTGTTAGGGGTATTAACTGTATGTGCAGATTAACAGATGGGTTTTCGGTGTTTCCAGCTTCTCTCTGAGTCGTCACAAAGACACTCAGGAGAAACACTGTCAGAGTTGCAGAGCCAACAGCACATTTCACACGGTGCATGTCGCTGCTGGGACACCGTGCCGCACCACGCGATGGGACTGATAGGGATGGATGTGGATGACTGAACAGCAAAGAATAGATACACCTCCATGGCAACCCCTGTGACTATCCCATAATAGAACAGCACAGTGAGGCAGCTGAGAGAGAGGACAGCAATGAGGACGTTGGGGGATCTGGAATAGCTCAGTCAGCGATCACACTCCATTCATCGCTGTTGGAGCACACAGAGCTGTGTGTGTGTGTGTGTGTTTGTGTTATACCATACTTCCTATGCCAGGTGACTTTGTCTGTGTGTGAATTAAATAATAAAATGTGACTGTAGATTTGTGTGTGTGTGGGTGTGTGTTATGCTGTTGTTGTCTCCACAGTGGGTGTTGCTAAGTGAGGATAACAGCATCCTCATCACACTGAGACTATCAATCGCATCTATTTATTGTCGGCCACGTTGAGGCAGCAGTCTCTCACCTTGTTTCTGATCCACTTGCTACGCGGGACATTTTTTGTGTAACCCCACATTTGCCTTTTCTGTTTATCTCTGTCAGCTCTCCAATAAGTCTAAATATTTCTGTGTCTGCAGCTCTGCGCTGTCATCTCTGCCGAGCTCAGCCTGGCCTCACTGTAATTCATCCCCCAGGGTTTTCTCCCTGACTGGAGCTGATGAGGAAAGTGCTGGAGTAAGAAGTTTCCCTCTAACCTCAGCTCAGGACTTGTGCAGAGAGAGAGACTGTCCACTGCAACAAGGATAGTTACATAAGAACGAGAGGGAAAGAGGGAGATAAAGTTTTCCCATGCAGACTCCTTCTGACCTCTAATCATTGTTTTTTTCTTACTTTTCCACTTGCAGTCTGATACCCTGCTTATACTACCCTCTCTCGTCCTTTATCTGTCTTACTCACGCAGCTTATCTCTGCACTGTTGCATCATCTGCCCTCAAAGCTGTGAAGGAGAGGAGAGAAAGAAAGGAGCTGAGAGTGAAGGAGGTGACAAGGTGTCCGGAAATCACTCCGCCAATGTACGACCCTGCCTCTGTAACACATTACTGTAGATATTATCTTTCTTCTAACTTTATATTAAGGTTGAAACTGTGTCTTTGGCTTATTACACCTCTTCTATACACTATTGTTGGATTTCTAACAATTGAAGAAAAGGACAGAAGAGGAAATCAGACAAGGACAGAGAGGACTAAAGGAGACAGGACAGAGGCTGAAAAGAAAGTGGAGACAGAAACAGGAGACATTAACCATGAGCTGAGGACCCGGGTGAATTATTGATCTGGCAAGGAAAGGAGAGATAGATGGATAGTGTCATGTTAATAGAAAAGAAAAGGAGGGGGGTGTGAGAAAGCCAAGAAATGGGATGAATGGAGAGTAGGCAGATAAAGAGTAGCTGCAGCGGGATGGGGGTTCAGGGAGTTTCCCTTTAGGTGCAGAGTCGTCTTGGGTTTCACAACAAAGTGCTGAGACCCAGGCAACCCGGGCAACGCTGGAAACAAAAGGCAGAGATCACTGACAGCAAGAGTGCTGCTGTGACCTCTGTCCGGCCTTGAAAATGCCTGAAATCCCCCCGTTTTTATTTCTAGATATAATTATTTTTGACAACCTAACTCCAAGTTCAGCCACAGGTGGTGTCAGCACGAGGTGGTGTCAAACACCTCCCGACATAAGTTTAATGTGGAAATGTACCAGGAGATCAACACATCACTGTGGGGCCTATAACTCAGTTTTTAAAATGCTGCAGTAGTTAACATGCCCCATGTGACCTGAGCTTTGTATCTGCTATATAAGCCTGAGAACAAGACATACAGCAGTGTACAGATATAAAACCAGGGGCTAGGTCTGCTGTCACACTACAATAACCAAATCATAGACTCATAGAGAATAACATCTCTCTAAATTCTCTAATTATATCTCCCTCTCCGTTGAGCAATACTGCTCACATCCCTCCATCTTTCCTCATTCTTCTTCTTCTCTGTCTCTCTTTATTGTTTACTTAGGTCATTTTCTTTCTGACGTCAGTAGACAAGTGAGTCGATGGGAATGCTGTTCCCCCTCTTTTCAAAAAGGAAAATTACAAGAATAACAAGTGCACGTCTAGAACAACACAGCATGCATGACTTGTAATGACCCCTGCAAGGTCAAAGTTCAAAAACATAACAAGACTCCCATGTGTGTAAACTGTGGCTGCACAAAGACACAAACTCTAATGGGTTTCATTCCCTATCTTTATTTGAGTGTGTGCTGTTTGAGTTTGAGAGCAGGAATGATTCAATTCACATTCACATCATTGAAATCAAAATGTCAAAATCCTGACACTCATAACGCCTCTGCTTTTCCTTAGATTTACTCTGCTTGTGCTCAACCAGTGCGCTTATGCTTATGCTTTCCAGCTCAAACTTGTGCTCACACTCACACTGCTTCCGTGCACGCATGAATCGTCTGTTGTATTTTGATGCTCCTGATATGATGCTCTGATTATGCTGGTTTATCTCATTTATGAATGTGGACAGATGTGTGTGTAGGAATGTGTGTATGTAAGGATCGTTTTTTAGGTGCTGCACAGCAGATTTCATTGTACTATTCTGTGAAATGACAATAAAGTTTTCTGATTCTGAGCACAAGCAGAGCAAATCTAAGCACAAGCAGGGGCTATTTCAGTATGAGCGCAGGGTTTTGAGTGAGAGCATTACAAAATCTGAACTTGAAATCAATAAGTCCTGCTCTCAAACTGAAAGACCATGATCTTGAATAAAGCGGCAAAAAGTAAGCCTGTATCCTTTGGGCACGGATCCTCATCACAACAAAATGTCAAAACAATGTTTACTCACTTTTCTCATATTCTCTCTCACTATACTTCTCTCTCTCACCTTCTTTCTGTGGTGTGGCTGTCTCTTCATCCCCTCCCTCCTTGTCAGCAGTGCAGCGGTATCCCTTCTTCTTCAGGATGTTGCAGATGAGGATACCCAGCAGGCCCATCACACAGAAGATGGGCACCAAGGCAAAAACAGCGTATTCGGCCGACTTCTCCTCAGCACTCCGCACCACTGTGCCATTGATTGTTCCTCCTGCACCAATGGATGAAGCTTTACCCACCGTGCGAACTGTTCTGACATGTAATGCTGCAGAAAGAAAGAGGATATAAGAGTTGTTGGTAATTACGAGACTGTATAATGGATTTGCAGCATGTTAATATAAAACCTTCTTCTTGAAAGACACTTGCTGCAGGAACATACTTACTTTTCACACAGGGAGTCTGGGTGGAAACTTCCCTGGAGGCAGAGAAATAAAACCTGCAAGTGGAAAAAAGAAAGAAGAACAAGCATAATTAGAAAAAAAGTGAGGGGCTGTTTAGCAATGAAAGAATGAATCAGTGGTTTCAGCCTGTGGCAGGGTGTGTTCAGTGTTGCCTGCCCCTCGTGAGGAATCATGCACTATGTGTGTGTGGGGGTGTCTTCCTGTTTTCTCGACTCAGAGAAAATTAAATGACTTAATTTAGAACAAATAAAAGTTTTACGAGGTGCGTGTCACAGCAAATCCCTTTGAATGTCAGGCATACAGCTGGTGTGAACAGTTGGTGGATTAGGGAGCAGACAGGTAGGCCTCCACAGAGACAGACTGACAGTCCTCACCCAGGCAAACAGTCTCCACAGATGGCCTCTGAGGTCACTGTGCCAGGGGCTGTGACCTTTCGATTGAGGACCTCGCAGGAGGCATGAGGACGGCAAAGTTCAGAGTTGAATGCGTCCGAAAAGGTTCCTGTCGGGCACAATCGGCATTGCACTTCCTCTGTTGGACTTTGGATCTGCCCACAAGCCTAAAATGACAGAAGGAAACATCTTAACTCAAGCTAAAGAGGCTGAATTCAACCTGCAGCTAAAGAGACACACGACGCATCTCAAATAAAATCCCCCTTTGGTTATAAAGCAACACTAAACACTGATTTATGGAGGAAAAGAACCCTAATTTATATTGAAACATCAAACTCATGAATCATGTGGTAAGAGAAGAGATACATCTAGTGTGTGATTCAAATAAAAGTCAAGTTCTCTGGTATAGGATACAGAGCATAATTATGGAACATAGAGTGAG